TGTTTCCATAAAAATGTATCCTGTAACAACTGTGTTCAACATTGATAATAATCAGAAATGTTTCTTGAGCAGCAAATCAGCATATTAGAATGATTTCTGAAGGATCATGTGACACTGGAGACTGGAGTAATGGCTGCTGAAAATTCAGCTTTGCATCACAGGAATAAATTACTTTTAAAAAAAATATTCAAATAGAAAACAGTGATTTTAAATTATAATAATATTTCACAATATTTACTGTATTTTGATCAAATAAATGCAGCCTTGGTGAGCATAAGAGACTTCTTTAAAAAAAATCATACACAACTCTACACAAACTTTTGAATGGTAGAGTAATTTGTAAAATAGGGATTACAACCAAATCTTCCCACATAGTGAGGTAGATATGTGGGGGCGTGTTCGACAGCAGCACTAAGTTGATGTATTCCCTCAGCGACCAGCACAGATCAACTCTAGGCATGACGAAGCGGATATCGTCCTCTTTTGGAAGACCAAACAAAGAAGTTTCGCTTTCACAACGAAACACACAGCGTCTTCAGGACATGGCGGCAGCGGCAACAACAATACTACAGCGAGAATAAAAGTTACGCCTTCTTTCTTTGCGTGAACATTTGGGCGGCGTTATGCAAATCTTCCCACATAGTGAGGTAGATATGTGGGGGCGTGTTCGAACGAGCCGTTTTAGGTAGGTGTGGCTAACTCTTAACTTTTATAAAGAATATCTCTTTGGATTTGAGACTTTAGTCTTTACAACTTTACAGATCTTCTTTATGCACCAAGAGCTTGTAACACTCCAAAGAGAAAGGAAAAAATGAAATCGCATCATGTGACCCCTTTAAGATTGTTTTGGAATGAACAGTTAAACCTAGAAAAGAAGACATTAGTATTTGGTGAAGGCTGTTTTTGTGCTTTACAGGATGCTGGTCAGAAGGCATTTGGTGCGGTGACGTGTAACGTGTGTGGGATGCTGTACTCTCCTACCAGCCCAGAGGACGAATCCCAACACCTCCTCTTCCACAACCAGTTCATCAGCGCTGTCAGATATGTGGTGAGTCGAGAGAGAAACTGTTGTGTCCTATCCAGATACTTATTATTACGTTATTCAAAGTTATTTATCATAACATAAAGATGTTGTTTCAGTCAGATCTGTCAGCAGTAAGCACAGCCTTGAGTGTTTTTTTTTCTTTAATGTATTCTTATAAGATCAGTGTTTAAAAAAGTACAAAAATATTAACTATCAATGTAGAATAAAAAAAAAAAAAGATTAAAAAACAAATTAACTAATTCATTACACATTTTCCTGTAATTAATCGTGATTAATTGCGTCTAACATTGGAATTAGTAATAATAAATATATTTTTACAGTGACTCTTGAAATTGATGTAGAAATAACATAAAAAGGCGGTGTATTATAAGTACTTATTCAGTGGCATTTTGTTATTCATTTCTGGGATATAATGAGTAAATATAGACATTCAGTGTTACAGTAAAGTTGAAAAATATTATAACTTGTCTTCACATAAACATATGGTGTGTGTTGCATATAGTGTAATATTTGAGAGACACAGTTATGTGTTGCTTAATTTACATTTTAGGATAGAGGTTACAGTCTCAAAATCATTATTGTAATATCTGTTCCAGGGCTGGAAGAAGGAGAGAATCTTGGGAGAGTATCCTGATGGCAAGATTATTCTTGTTCTCCCTGATGATCCTAAGTACGCACTTAAAAAGGTACTTGTCTCTTCCTCATATCCTTCCTTTCACTAGCCCTCAAGCTGTCTATTTCAAGATTTCTAATAGCTTTCCTGATACATATGATATCTGTTTATAATATTTATCTGGTTTGATTCAAGGTTGAGGAGATCAGAGAAATGGTGGACAATGACTTGGGCTTCCAGCAAGTGGAGACCAAAGTCCCATCACAGACCAAAACCTTCCTCTTCATTTCAAATGATAAGAAAGTCGCAGGCTGTCTAATCGCCGAGCACATACAAGAGGTCAGCTGAGCATACAGGTGTTTAATAGCATGTTTATAGGTGTATATCTTGCAGTTTATCTCATTAAATTCATGCATAATTTTTAGAAACCAATAAGAGTGCAGTACTCTAAGCTCATTTAATATATTTAATAATATTTTACATGATTTAAACCCATTTAACCGAATTCCGCTGGTTTTCAATTAGCAGAGAAAATGTGAAAAACATGCATATTCCATATAGGCCTTTTAAAAGTCATTGTAAGGTGCTTTATGTAGGCTTTATGTAGTGTTCGTCTTAGTCTGTTCCACATCTGATGGTTTTGTTTGGCTGCTGTGTGCAGGGATACAGGGTTATAGAGGAGTCCGTGCCGGAGGGTTCAGAAGGAGAGAAGGTCATGTACGAGCGTCAGAGGGCCTGGTGCTGCTCTACCGTACCTGAGCCGGCGCTCTGTGGCATCAGTCGCATTTGGGTGTTCAGCATGATGAGACGGAGAGGCATCGCCTCACGCATGATAGAGTGCCTCAGGTAAAGGGTTGAACATTTTTTATGAGCAAGTCAAGTCACCTTTATTTATATAGCGCTTTATACAATACTGATTGTGTCAAAGCAGCTTTACAGTGTCAACAGGAAAATAGTTTGTCAATGAAGAGTAATTATAACCACAGATGTAATGTGTTATAATTAGTGCTTTCAAACAATTAATCACGATTAATCGCATCCAAAATAAAAGTTTTTGTTTACATAATATATGTGTGTGTTTTTTTATTTTTATTATGTGTATATAAATACACACACATGTATATATTTCAGAAAAATATGTTATGTTTATATATTAAATATATTTATATATAATATAAATTATATGAATATAAATATATACATGTAAATATTTTCAAAATATTTACTGTATGTGTGTGTATTTACATATACATAATAAATATACACAGTACACACACACATATTATGTAAACAAAAACTTTTATTTTGGATGCGATTAATCGAGATTAATCGTTTGACAGCACTAGTTATAATATGTAAATATTAGTAGTTATAATGTATTAAAACACAACAACTACTTTTATACTGTCCAAGGTATTTTGATACATTTTAATACAGTTATTTATGAAAATAATTATATTAAAATAAATTTGGGGGGCAGTACGTTTTTTTAAAGAAATTAATAATTTTATTCAGAAAGGATGTATTAGAAGTGACAGCAAAGACGTTTATAATGTTAGACAACTGTATTTTAAATAAATGTTGTTCTTTTGAACAAAAAAGTCCTGAATAAATGTATCACTGTTTCCACAAAATATTAAGCAGGACAAGTGTTTTCAGCATTGATAAAAATAATAATAAACATTTATTGAGCACCAAATTAGCATATTAGAAGGAAAATTCAGCTTTGCCATAACAAGAATAAATTACATTTTAAAATATATTAAAATAGAAATAATTTAAATTGTAATATTTCACATTATTACTGTTTCTGTATTTTTTTTTTTATTGTGAGCGTAAGAGATTTAAAAAAACTTTTAAAATCTTCTGATTTCTACAAATCTTTCTACAGTTTTCAAGTTTTAAAGTGTTAAACAAAATACTTTTTTCTTTACAGTTAAGACTTAAATGTTTATTCGTCTTTTTGTCCAGGAATAATTTCATCTATGGGTCTCATCTAAGTAAAGACGAAATCGCCTTCTCCGATCCCACGCCTGACGGCAAACTCTTCGCAACACATTACTGTGGAACCTCTCAGTTTTTGGTCTACAACTTTGTAAGCGGCAATCGCTCAACCTGACAGGACGTGGACATAGAGCTCAGTTTTAAAATATTGACATTTGAGAAGAGGACTGGACTTAGAAGACTTTATTTCACTATACCAAACAGTGCAAAAATGAAGTGAGAGAACAGAAACCGACCTTAGGATGTTTTAAAGGCTCTTTTTGTTCAGAGTCTTGGTTTGAATTGGTAAACATTGGCACAGGAGGTGTAGGATGCAAAGTTAGACACTGATATCTAACCCTCACGGCCAGTTTGACGTATTTTAATAAGCCTGCAGAGTAGCTTATGCCTGATGCATTGTTCAGTGAAAGACATCTAAACTGTTCTCTCAGGTTTAGGTTGCAGCCTATTTTAGGACTCACCGTTTAGTGGAAGCCATGTAGTCCAGTGCACAATTGCAAAATCAGTGTAAGTACTTCTTCCTAGAACATATAGGAAGGCGTGTGAACTTTTTTTACTGTAAGCAATGCCTCGGTCGTGAGGCGACGACTTTTGAATCTCAGGTTGAAAAACATCATATGAATTTGTCATCGAAATCTCCCTTTAACCCCTACATCATGTCAGCTATTTTCAAAGAGAGAGTATTTTCCTGATACAGTGTGTTCCATGTGCATTTTAAAGAGGTTTACATGCATGGCATTGACATCGATAGACGGCAGATGATTTCAAAGAAGTCGCTGGTTTTGCACAACACTGTGCAGAATGAATATGATTCATTTGTTTTTAAAACACAAGTGTAATAATTCAGAATGTTTGCCCAGTCATAGTATTCCATCTCATTTGAATATTTTTTAGAATGATTTTATGTATGTATATGTATTTTGATTGAATTATATTAATTTACTCATGACTACAGATGGATCTTTCGTTACCTTCGCTAGCAGGACAAAGGGTTAAAATCACTCCAGCCAAAATTTTGAATTGTTCTTTTATAAAATAATACAGTTTAGTTCTCTGAAGCTGAAAATGATAGAAGCCCGATGATTGGGTTGCTTTTATATATTAGGGATTTACGTAATTTATAAATTGGGATGTTTGATCATTCTTTACAAACAGTGAAAAAGAACAGCTTACATTTGTTACTCATACAACTTTTAACCTTATAGTAGAAAACAATTGAAAAGTCAGTGCAAAAGAGATTGAAAGTATTTTAATATCTATATACATTTTATTTGATCACTTTTTGAATTTAAAAAGTGGAATTATGTATCTACATGTTGTTTTCATCTTTGGCGTAATGCACAAGGTCTCAAATGCGCTGAAGATTCAGGTACAAACTTTTTCCCCGTTTTTCTAAAATTGTATTCTTTTTTTTTTCTTCCTTCCCATATCCGTTGCACCTCTGACTTTTATTTTGATAGGAACTCTTATTATGCAATATCATACTTCCGGTGGGCGTTAAAGACGCGATCACACACGTCTCCACGCGTTGTTGTGGGGCATGAGAAAAAGTAGTTTACGTTAAAAAGGCGTTAGTCTTTTTGTAATATATACCGTATAACAGATTTATTAACATAGTTACATATTAATGAGGGGCAGCACGTCATCTGTTTCCTAAAGGCTGTGTGTAACTAAAAACACGTGTTTTATAGTCCTCATGGGGGATCAAATTGAGTTGGTCGCTGGCTGTTATGAGCAGATAGTGTTTGGATATCGAGTGAGCCCTGGTGACGAGGTAATTATCATTTTTCAAAACTTTTATTTTGTTCATTGATCGAATCTTACTTTGTTTTCAAAGTGAATGTTAAATGCAGTTGTGTCTGTTGGTTAGTTTCAGTCTGCATTTGCATTATAATTTTGATATTGGTCCATATTTAAACTCATAATTTTACAAACAGGGCTATTATTGTTATAATAACTTACTCTAATAATAATGTAGACTTTACTTTAAATATAATCTTAATTAAAAAGGCCTGGTGACGAGGTAATTATCATTTTTCAAAACTTTTATTTTGTTCATTGATCGAATCTTACTTTGTTTTCAAAGTGAATGTTAAATGCAGTTGTGTCTGTTGGTTTGTTTCAGTCTGCATTGCATTATAATTTTGATATTGGTCCATATTTAAACTCTCATAATTTTACAAACAGGGCTATTATTGTTATTATAGTTTACTCTAATAATAATGTAGACTTTACTTTAAATATAATCTTAATTAAAAAGATTTTCGTGTCTATTTTAGGAGTGGACAATTGAGCCCAACTTTACCCATCATGCACACACAGCATCACTGACTGCAGTTTCATCCAGTGATCAGTTCATCGCCACTGGAAGCAAAGATGAAACCATTCAGCTCTATGATATGAGCAAGAAAACTGAACATGGGGCTTTGTTGCATCATGATGGTGAGGATGTTTATTTTGGTTTCTGATTGGAACTAAAGAGAGTCTGGCTTCAACTATTCTGCATCACTGACGTTACAGTTTCATGTGTTGTCATAAACCGTGTCATAAAGCATATAAATTGTAAGCTCACATTTTCGGCAGGTACTATCTCATGTCTGGAGTTCTACGGCACGTCCCATTTACTCAGCGGAGGACAAGACGGGCTCATCTGTGTGTGGAGCACCAAAAAATGGGAATGTTTAAAATCCATCAAAGCTCACAAGTAAGTTATCTGAAAACTATCCCAAACTTTTTTGATATAATTAGTGGTTTTATTTAGCGAGGATTTATTAAATTGATCAAAAGTGACGGTAAAGACATTTATAATGTTACACAAGAATTCTGTTTCAAACAAATCTTTGATGAAATTCTATTCATCAAAGAATCCTGGAAAAATATATCACGGTTTTTAAAATTGATGATAACAATAAATGTTTCTTGAGCAGCAAATCAGCATATTAGAATGATTTCTGAAGGATCATGTGACACTGAAGACTGGCGTAATGATGCTGAAAATTCAGCTTTACATCACAGGAATAAATTGCATATTAAAAATATATTCAAATACAAAACGGTTCTTTTGGATTGTAATATTATTTCACAATATTACTGTATTTTTATAATAAATGCAGCAATGGTAAGATGTGCAAAAACGTTAAAAAATCATACCGACCACAAATGTTTATTAGTTTGGGTTTTATTTGTTTAGGGGTCATGTTACTTCACTGTCCGTACACCCTTCTGGAAAACTCGCTCTCTCTGTCGGAACAGACAAAACTCTGCGGCAAGTACACAGATGTTTTCATGTTAATATGAATATCAAAAATTCTGGTCAGATTGTTAAGCTGTGAATGTGTTTGAATTAATTTGAGTAATAAATATTTTGTTGTTCAACAAAAACAATAGTTTTGATGACAAAATTTATTGCAGAACGTGGAATCTTATTGAAGGACGTTCGGCTTTCATCAAGAATATCAAACGGAGTGAGATTATAATACAAAATACTTTCTGATTCTGTATTTGTTTGGTTTTGTTTTTCCTTTTATAAATAATTTTCTAGAATTATTGTATAATATTGAGAAAGTTCAACTTCTCCGCTAAATCAAAGCTCAATAAAACGATATATATTTTTCGTGCATATAAGATGAGCAGTGTGTAATAATGTTTTGTAGATGCAGAGATCGTCTTGTGGTCACCAGACGGAGAGCAGTATGCAGTGGTTGTGAACGATCAAGTGGACATTTACGTTCTGAAATCTGCCACAATTATTGGAACCATTGCGTTTACAAAAAGGATTTCATGTCTGAAGTTTCTGAAGGTGAACAGTCTTATCGGTGTTGCAAGAGAACCGATGATATATGTCTATTCAATCAGTTCTAGTTTAGTTTGCAATTGAAATTTTGCTTCCCTGCTTTGTCAAATGTAACATGATCAATTTGATTTAAAAGCGAAGAAGTCTTATTCCAGTATCTTCTCTCTATGTCTCAAGAACACACTCTTGGCTGTGGGAGGAGACGATGAGAGCGTGCGTATCTTTGACGTGACCTCACAGAAGTGTGTCTGCGAGTTTGAAGCACATGAGAACAGGTATGACCGCCACTTTTGAACTTTTCTTTAAGGGTGCATCTCAGTCCCAGTGAACCGGCCGTTTCTAGAGCTGTCCTGTCATCAAAATCGTTCTAGTGCATCGAAATTCTCAGAATGCATTGTGAAATGAGTGAGATCTGCTGTATTTGTTATTGCTGTGCTCATTTAACGTTTTTTCCCCAGAGTCAAAGCCATTGAGAGCTTCATGAAGGATGATGGTTGTGTCCTTGTTACGGCATCAAACGATGGATTCATTAAGTTGTGGAAGCTCAATCTTGAGGTATTGTGTATCTTCCTTGCTGGTAAATATAACACGGACACAAGTGGGGTTTTTTAGCTGTGAGCTGAACCATTATATACATTAAAAAAATGTTTTGGCTTGATGGTTTCACTTTGATTGATCAGTATTGTATGCATATACAGAACCTGGAGACTCCTTCCCTGCTTGGCCAGGTGAACACCACTGCCAGACTCACCTGTCTTTCCATCTGGAAACGTGGTGAAGCGAAAGAAACGATTGCAGATCAATCTGCCCAGCCTGAAACTTCTAAAGGTGCGGTTACATTTTTCAGGGTTTCTGCTAATTTTCACAAGTGAAATCCAGTTGTTTCAATAGGAATCCATCCTAGTAGGAATTTCAAGAAGATTTTGCAACGGGTTCAAGTTGGTCACACAAATTTGTTGAAAGCTGCTTTGTTTGAAAGTGACTTCTGTGTGAGCTTGACAATAGACTATAGCAGTGGTCTCAGACTCAATTCCTGGAGGGCCACAGCTCTGCAGAGTTTAGCTCCAACCAGCTCCAAATCACACCTGCTTGGAAGTTTCTAGTGATCCTGAAGACCTTGATTAGCTGGATCAGGTGTGTTTGATTAGGGTTGGAGCTGAACTGTGCAGAGCTGTGGCCCTCCAGGAATTGAGTTTGAGACCACTGGGCTATAGACCTATAGCTGAAATTTCATTAATGTGATCTCACCTTAAAGGGATAGTTCACCCAAAAATGAAAATTCATTGGAAAGTCATCATGTACTCACCCTCAATTCATTCCAAACCTGTATGAGTTTCTTCTGTTGAACACAAAAGAAGATATTTTGAAGAATGCGGGTAACCAAACTGGTAGCCATTGACTGTCATAGTATTATTTTCCATTCTATGGAAGTCAATGGCTACCAGCAGCTGTCTGGTTACCAACATTCTTCAAAACATTATCTTTTGTGATCAACAGACAAAAGAAACTTACAGGTTTGGAACAAACTAAAGGGGTGAGTAAATTATGACTTTTAAATGTTATGTTAAGAGTTGAAATGGTTTCCAGACACCAAGTTGTCGAGGGAAAAACGTATTAATATCTATATATGTTCTCAAAACAGCTGTTGTGGAGCCCTCGAAGCCAGCCAAAGGTAAAAGAGTGAGGCTACCAGGAGAAGTGGTGATTCTAGAAGAAAGCAGCTCCACAAAACAAGGAAAAAAGAAGAAAAAACAAAAAGTGCAATAAACCGTTTTATTGAAATCATTGGTGGTGTTCTATTATTTACATTTCCTGTCTTTCCTGTCATATAGCTGAGTGATTTGCAATGCATTTATTAATGTCAACACCTTTTGAATTCCAGCTAAATGAAAGAAAAAAAAATACTCAATTTTTGTATTTGTTTTAGTGCTGTCAAAGCGATTAATCATGTCCAAAATAAAAGTTTGTTTACACAATATACGTGTGTACTGTGTATATTTACACGTTATTACATATTTAGGAAATATTTACATGTACAAATATATATTCATATTTATACATAATTTAAATGATCATTTTAAATATATTACATATTTCTTAAATATATACATGTATGTGTGTATATTTATATACAGTACACACACGTATATTATGTTCAACTTTTATTTTGGATGCGTTTAATCGATTTGACAGCACTAATTTGTTTATT